AAGGAAAGAGAGAGATGAGAAACATGGAAGGTGGAAAAAAAGGAAAGAGAGAGATGAGAAACATGGAAGGTGGAAAAAAAAGGAAAGAGAGAGATGAGAAACATGGAAGGTGGAAAGATAAATGGCTGAGAGCGAAATTCCAAAGGGAGATGACGAGCCTGGGACGGACTCAGAGTCTAACCTGAAGGTACAAACAGAAGCACTTACATTTGCGGGGTTGAGGGATTAGGAGTCAACTTGCAAACATAGATAACATAGCTAGGCAAAAGATAACGCTGTTAGGAACGGCTGGAATACTAAGAGCGCTAAATGTTGATGGACACTAGGAGAGCTTAGGTCATCGAAATTATAACTAGCAATAACATCCGCTAGTGATTAAAAATTGATAATAATTGCAGAAATTGTAATGACGATGACGACGATGACGATGATGATGATGATGATGACGATGATGATGATGACGATGACGATGATGATGATGATGATGACGATGATGATGATGATGATGATGATGATGATGATGATGATGATGATGATGATGATGATGATGACGACGACCCAATCAATATACAATGATTGTTACAAATATAATAATGAAAGATTATGAAAATTACAATGGTAATCACACTGACAAAAAAAATGTAGAAAACAACATGAAAATGAAGACAACTCCTCTATGATATTATATATATATATATATATATATATATATATATATATATATATATATATATATATAATTTATATATATTATTTTTTTTTTTTTTTTTTTTTTTTTTTTTTTTTTTTTTACTGTGGGTGCAACATCTCAACCAGAAAAAATATAAATAAATAAATAGAATAGAATAAAAAAGGAAGTTATTTAAGGTAATATCACAGTAGAAAGTACTGAAGTAACCGCCTGACAACAGAAACCACCCAGACGCTTATTTTCCCCGAGGAATAACAACGACCAAGTGAACAAATAACAAGTGAACAAGGAACTAGAGAACAAGAAACTAGTGAACAAGGAAGATTGAAAACTTAGGAAAGGTTTAGATAAATATTTCCTCTTTACAAGTATTAGGAGGGATTAGATTTTCACTTTGATATGATAATTTTTGGACAGTTAATGATCAGTTTTGTTATTGTTTATGAATGGCTTATGGTGTGATATGAAATTTTATTTCTGACGATTTTTATATCGTTTTTCCATCACTGTAATCTTATACATTTGGTCTTTTGCTTATTTTTTTTTATTATTAATTTATCTATTTATTTTCCAGGTTGGCAGAGGTCAAGATTGATTCCAATTCATACCAACGTTTGTGGTAAAGGTATGAATATGAATAGGAAAAATAGCACAAGCCAAGATATATCCTTAATGTTTGATGCTTATATATTAACCTAATTATTCTTCGTTCTGATGTTTATATCCTTATGGAAGTTACAACTTGCTCTTGGAAGTATTTATCCTCAATAATGAAGATAGCAATGATAATGCAAATAATAACGATAATGATAACAGTAATAATGACAATATGAAGACCCATACACCGTCGGGAAAGGCTAGATCAGTAGCAAACCGAGGTGGTGTCATGGCGTCTGATTCTATTTTTGGGGAAAAAAAAGCACATGGGGTTTATTTTGATGACGTCACAAAAGTTACGGATGCTTTGTTAATATGGTCGATCATTTTGATCTCTTCAATTTTCAATTTACCATATCACTCCGTAACTTTCCAAACATTGTTATTCCTCCGACAGGCAGTTAGGACTTCAGTGAATAAATAAATGGAAATAAATAAAATGTGGAAATATGATAGAAAATATATGGTTATCTGCTAGGATCATTTAACGGCGAAATCTACCTTCACCTCTCCATATTTTCTAAGCATTTTTGTTAACATATTACATATTGGTTCATGTACAATTAATACCTGTATGAGTGGCTTCCAACTGTTTTATACGCTGAACACTTTCTCGAAACTCCGACATATCCATCTAATATAATGTTTAGGCTTTATAAAAATCAGTAAATTTTAAAATTACACCTCTCTTTGGCTATTAGTTATGAATCACCAATCATCACTATAAACATAGTAAAGATAAACGCGAGATGGGATCGAAACATTTACACTCACTCCTTGATACTTCATGTTATAAATGGACGAAAAACTGATCGACCCTTCCCTTCTTTCATGATTTTCTTTTCCTACACTTTACTCTGGTTTCGTGTTCCTTTTGCAATTAATTACTTGGCGCAATTGGAATTGTCTCCTTCAATTAACTCCGTTGCTGTATCTAAGGGCCCGCCAATAATCAATCAATAAAATATATCATCTTATCATGGCATATCACCTCTTTCCTATCATGGCCTACATCATGGCGTGTGGCGTGGCATCATCATCACTTTCTCCCCAACCTTTCTTTTTCTCTACGTTTGAGACGAAGCAACAACTCCGTCTTAATTATCACACTTCAATAAACATGGATTCCATAATCATGTTAATTCACTTATAAAGCATTAGAACCTCCAATATCCGGGCAAAACACTCATGTCTGACTTTAGGTGAAGCAACAACTCCATCAGACAACCTAGGACAAAACTGCTTATTACCTTCCCTCACCATTAATATATAAACAAACCAACAATTGATTGAAGATTATTATTATTCATTCTATTAATTCAAACACTAAACTTAGCTATATATTGATATGCCTAGAAATTGAAAATACATTTCGGTAGGAACCATACATCACAATTTTAACTCATTCATCTATCAATTGTCGAATTAGTATCGACCTCGACAATATGTTGACTCTGAGTTTAATTAACTGTAATACAATATTCCTTCAAGTAATTTTTTCATTGTATAATCTTAATATGAGTGCTGACTACCGCCTAGTACACAGGCCTACCAGCCTTCCGCGACCCTCCGCTTGGGATCCACGAGGCTATAGTAATACAAGTTAATTCTCTGCTTGTGTAAATTACTACAATTTTATTTAGTTCGGGTCTTTTAAATCATATAAGCTTTCATTATAAAGGGAACTTACATCTTAACAAGAGAGCTGATGAGAAGCATAAATCTGTTATAAATCTTTTAATAAAACAGTTAAGAAAACCAAATATAAAAAAGAAAAATGTCGGGGTACACTGGCTCAAGAGGACGTAAAGATGGGGGGAGTGATAACACAGAGAGCAGAGGTCGCCGAGGGAAACCTGAGACTACATTTCCCAACTTTAAGGTGAAAACACTGAATTATTTCCTGCGTTCAGAACCTGAAGCTAAAATGGCCTTTTTCGTATCGTGCATAACTCATATGTATTTTCTGCATGTTTCTAGTAACAAATTCCATGTATCACTTTATGGTATGGGAATAAGTTTCAGGGTTTAACGGTCAGGACTAACCGTATCTTTCCGTAACTGCCCAGAAATAGTTACTCCAAGAAAGTGGATTCTCGGTACAGAAGAGTGAAGAAAATTTCAGTTTTTTTTTTGTGCAAAGTTATACAGTACTATAACCAATGCAGGTTTATATAAGGGGTTAAAGCCTGAACACACCTTGTATTCATTAGGCACATCTGGCACAGATTTATCAGTCAGTCTCATAAATATCTTAATAGGTTACTTGATAAATTCTCATACTCTTCTATTTAGGTATATCCTGACCATACATGAAAGAAAGATAATAATTGGTATCACAAAACAATTAAATTTGTAAGTGATCTGACTACTCTATTTCTAGGGGGGGGAGGTACTCTCTCCACGCTAAATATGATAATTATGATAGTCTTGCGACATCTCATTTTATAATTAGGAGCAAGATTGTGTTTTTAATGTATATTCATGGAGCCATCTCAACCTTACCCTGGGTAATGTTTTAATTTTTGCATATCTCATTTCCTGTGTAACATAACTATATAAATTCTTTAAGTGGTACAGTCTGTTCGAATAAAGTATGAAGTTTAGTGATACTAAACAAATTTTACTTTTATTTGCATCTTTTTATTAGGCTGTGTCTGTCTGTCTGCCGTGTGCCTTTGTTTTATTTATTGGTATATCTACTTTGTGCGTCTTTAGTTTTGGACTTTATTTTGCAATTTTCATTACACCACTACACACACACACACACACACACACACACACACACACACACACACACACACACACACACATACACACACACACACATATATATATTATATATATATATATTATATATATATATATATATATACACATGTATATATATATATATATATATATATATATATATATATATATATATATAATATGTGTGTGTGTGTGTGTGTGTGTGTGTGTGTGTGTGTGTGTGTGTGTGTGTGTGTGTGTGTGTGTATATATATATATATATATATATATATATATATATATTATATATATCTATATATATATATATATATATATATATATTATATATATATGTGTGTGTGTGTGTGTGTGTGTGTGTGTGTGTGTGTGTGTGTGTGTGTGTGTGTGTGTGTGTGTGGTATGTATGTATGTATGTATGTATGTATGTATGTATGTATGTATGTATGTATGTAATGTCATATACATACATGTATGCATACATATGGTGAATGTGTGTATGTGTCTTGTTTATTAGAACCGTTTTATGTAACTCGGGCTTTTACATTATATAACATTTCACTATAACCATAACTACAACTACTTGAAACCCCCAGACTTGAGAGGGGTTCAGTCGTGAAAACGCCTTTATTAGCCTTTAGGATTTCCTTCTTTTTTCTTTCTTCTTTTATAGGGTTTTAGACCATTTTTTAGGATTTCCTGATCACTGTAAATTATTCTCTCCGGAAGAGACGGAAATTTTATACGAAGGGTCACCATTATGTTGTTTCAAGTATCGTTATTCTTATTAAGCTTGATCGTCATTTAATAGATAATCAAGATTAATAAAAATGAACAGTATTTATGAATAGATGAAGGAAACATGAAAACAAAAAAGAAACCCTTACACTACCGGTCCCTCTTGAATTAGTGTTGACATTGATGGCGAATGCAGAAGGCGAACGAAAAGAATCTTTATAAATACTCTCTTTATCACTCTCTCCAACAATGTCTCGAGAAGCTCCCACTGAGAAGCATTATGTCCACCGTCGAGCTGGCCATGTCATGATTAGCTATGATAAACGCCTCTTTGTGTGGGGAGGATATATGGTAAGGCCATATGTGTCGGTGGTGATCAGACGAGTATGTTTGTTTTTATGTTGGTTGTAGGCGGTTATTGGATGTGTGGCATGCAGATTTAATTTTGGTAGTTTATGGACATTTATCGCAGTAAATAAAAACACACCCAAACGTCCAAATGCAGATACACACGCAAATGCATGCAGGCAAACAAATTCATGATCGTACACAAATGCAAGCACACACACATACACGGTGTTCACACATGCACACACACACATACATCTTTTTTGTTTCATTACTAAGCCTAATTCAGAAAATTTATATAACCCATAACCCAACCTTACCTAGCAATTTACGGGGCCATGACTAGGCGTGCCCTTTGAGCTCTGAACCCCAACGCCCCCGGGACACATTCTCTTCACCTCGGTTTGTACGGCAACATAGAGCTACATCCATACTGTAAACAATAAACCAATTACCTTTATATATTGAAACAGTCCAACTTTCCTTTGCTTCTTTCTGTCGGTCTATTGTGTGGATCACTTCATGTCTAATCACATTTTTCTGCATTGGGGGACTTGATGGGCTCAGATATCAAACTACAATAGTTATTATGGTCTATTTCTTCTTTGTTGTCACTGTATAGTCTTAAGAATAACCCAAAATCAACACAACACTGAAAACAAGACATTTCTTGCCGGCCTTCTGTCACCGAATGGCCGGGAATCCACCTGTCAAACCTGGCGGCCAAAAACGCAAAAATGAGAATGCGCAGAAGTATCTCCAGACTGATTCCCATAAAAGAATGTACAATAAATCTTAAAACACATAAATGAGGTATAACAACCGTAATTAAGTAATTAAAGCCTTTGAAAACATTATTGTGGAACAGCAGACACTGATAATTAGCCAAATATCGTTTTGTCAACCGCATAGTAATACATGAAATACTTAAGAGAACGTAGGAATGAGTTAAGTGGTCATAATTTTGTTTACATTCACAATATCAACATGGCGAAGAACTTTGAAAAATGATGGGTCGATCATGTGCCAAACTAAAGCTATATGCTTCTTTAGTGTACCTATGATTATCATGGATTATCACATAATGAACTTGTAAATGTGAAACACATACTTGGAAGGAATTCCCCTTATTCTGTGCAAAAATTATTTGTGTGATAATTGAATTTTGCAAACGAAGACATCCTTTGACCCAAAAGTTGTATTGATAAGTTTTTACAGTATGGATGAACTCGCCAGAGTCCCCAACCCCAGTTTACAAAATTAATTCAATAGCCTAAGTTGCTGTGACTGGGTGTGCCCTTTGGGTACTGCCCAAGGGATAGGGTTGATGGGGGGCTCCTCCCCCTAACACCCCCTGGGAAACATTGTCTTCGTCTCAGTATGCATGGTAAGATAGAGCTGAAATCCCTTCCAATACCTTACTCGTTGTTGTGGGAAAGGATTAGGAGAAGGAGATGGAGGCACAATGTAGGGGACAACCCCTACCTTGGGCCTCAGCCCTCGAATGAACTAATTTTGCTTGGTCTTTTCTTCTCCCCCTTCCTCTTCCGTATCTTCTTCATCCCTTTCTTCTATCCCATTCCTAAGGTGGGAGAGTCGTTCTGAAAGGATGAAAGGCTGGCTTTTTGTCAGTCATTAATGGCCTCCAGGAGCCATGGGTATAGTATTCCCTTGGTTAATTGCATAGCCCTTACCCATTATGGGGAACCTGAATGGTAAACCATTTCTTTTCCTCATTTTATTCAAGCTAATTATGGCCAATAATGAAGATTCTTTACACTTAATAGGGGCATTAAGGCTTGTCCCTTCATCAACTAGCCTATCTAAATTTGATTTTGATGGTTTTCTGACCCCTGCCCCTCCTTTAACCACGCCTCCAGCCACTGATGGTAATACCCCCTCCTCGATGCTTACTGACAACTCTATCCATTCCAAAACACCCACCCAGGTCATTACTCAACCTCCAGAGAGCACCCCTTCCTCTCTTTCAATATTTTCCTCTCCATCTACTGCACAGTCCTCGTCAGTGTCTACCCCCTCTTCCCTTATTACTACTCTTCATCCATATTGTACTCCCCCCTGCAGAACTACTCTACTCCGCACCACCCCATCTTCCTCTCGCCCTTGTCCTTCTACTGCCTCTACCTCTGCAAACTTTTTCAGTACTCACTTTGGCCCAGCCAAGTGGGAGCGATTCTTTGAGATTCCCCCCACAGCCCCTATCCAGAGAATACCCTTCTCTTTCAACAACAGAACAAGTAGGCAATATTACCTTTTGCAGTTGCTTGGGATTCAGTTACATCTGAATCCAAAGCTCATGCACTATCTACCCTAACTGACCTCATAGGAAAACCCATTCTTGATGAACCTTACCCCCTCTCTTAATACTTGTACTGGAACTGTTTCTATCCCCCCAAATGCTTGTCCTATCTACAACAAGGACTGGTCAGACTGTAAAAATGACCAACTCACCTGCTTTGTTGATTATGATGCAGTGGCAGTACATTGTTACACTATTCCTCCCAGAAGCCATTGTAAAGATTAGCTTCCATAGACATGACCTCCCCCATTAAGTTTATATTGGTGGATTGTCTTCCCATATCTGATCATATTGACCCCTTCCTCATCAATGTCAGAAATGTTGGCAAAAGAGGGTAAGAGGAGATTATATTATGGGTGTAGCAGAAGGAAATTTCCCAAACAGAACTAGAAGCATTAGAAGATACTACATGCTGTACTTATCATTCACAATAATTAAAATTGCAGGAAGAATCCTGCCAGTTTTTGACAGGCCTGCTGCAGTCATGAAGAATAGGATTTTATAGCTTCAGTTCTTTTGAGATTGAAGATTTACCTCAAACTTTTTTTATCCTTTAGGAAATTGTAAATATCACATAGAAAGACTTGAGGCATTATAAATTTAAGAATTGATTAAAATGTATATGACTCAAATTGTCCACAGCAGGTGATTCATCTGTTCATAAGTAGGTTAAGTGAAATACTTTAATTGCTAGTCAGTAGAATAAATAAGCTTCTGGATATCATGATGGATATGCTGTAATTATGATGATGAAGACACTGTTGATGTGGAATAGAAATTGATAGTTTATTCAATTGATTATTTAGAATAACAAAATGTATGAGAATTATATTAAGGTCTCTGATGGTGGTAAATCTTAAACTATACTAAATAGATACCAGTAATGAATGTGCTAAATCCGTGTCTTTTTGTGTCTGTGCTAATATTTACTGCATGGACAGTATTTACCCTAAATTTGGATAGATTTTGCTTAACAGAGGCTTTCAGAATTTTTTGGTAGATAATAGTTTGCTTAGTCAGCCAGAAGATAACATAAACTTTTAGTGAATTTACCTATAAGATTTTATCATGTCTTTGCTGATGTTTAAAGAGGTCCTTGGTTTGAAGATCAATTATCTCTTGTTCATGTAATGGATTTTTGGACTTTACAAGTGTTTGAACAAAATAACAAGAGACAGTTTTTCATACTCTTAACCCCGGACATTAGTCATAGACATGCATGATATTGGTGTTCTTATTTTAGATATTATGATCATTATAATGCTAACAATGCTAATGGCAGTAGAAAAGTAGAAGATATAAACTATATATTTTCTTTTCTGATTCAACAGGAACTTGCCCACACACATCCATACACACTTACGACTCATAGTAAATGTATTTACCATAGTGCCAGTGATGTATGGATATATGAACCCCTGCTTGATGTGTGGTAAGTATAGTGTCACTCCTAGTCAAATATTTTGTTATAATGAAGAAATTCTCTCTCTCTCTCTCTCTCTCTCTCTCTCTCTCTCTCTCTCTCTCTCTCTCTCTCTCTCTCTCTCTCTCTCTCTCTCTCTCTCTCTCTCTCTCTCTCTCTCTCTCTCTCTCTCTCTCTCTCTCTCTCTCTCTCTCTCTCTCTCTCTCTCTCTCTCTCTCTCTCTCTCTCTCTCTCTCTCTCTCTTCTCTCTCTCTCTCCTCTCTCTCTCTCTCCTCTCTCTCTCTCTCTCTCTCTCTCTTCTCTCTCCTCTTCTCTCTCTCTCTCTCTCTCTCTCTCTCTCTCTCTCTCTCTCTCTCTCTCTCTCTCTTCTCTCTCCTCGCAACTTTCTCTCTTCTCTTCTCTCTCGTCTCTCTTCTCTCTCTTTCTTCTCTCCTCTCATATCGGAGGGCGGTGGCGGACGTACTTTTTTCTTTCTCCCTCTCGCGCCAGCACTCTAGAGCCCTCCCACATCTCTCTTCTCTCCATCTTCTCATGATCCCATTTTCTCCTCTCTCTTCCACTCTCTCTCTCTCAACTCTCTCTTGTGCCTTTTCAACTTACCTAGAACCTGGATAATCTCACTCTCTCTCTCACTCGGTCCTTGCGCCGTGCTCTCCCTCTCATCTCTCTCTCTCTCTCCTCATTCCTCTCTCGCTCTGCTCAGCCTTGCCTCTCCACGAAGCTCAATCAAACTCTTTCCTCGTCCTTCTCTCTCATCTCGCGTCTTGCGTCACACTCATCAGTCTCCTCTTCGTCGGCCCGTTCTCGGTTTGTGGCGTCCGGTCCCTGCCATCGGTTCCCAATCCCTTCATCTAGTATTGTTGTATCCTTCGTCGTTCTCTCATTCGCTTTCTCCGTTCTCTTCTCTCATCTCGCGGGTCTCCGCCTCTTTTATCGTCTCATTCATCGCTTGTAGTGCATGGAAAAGTCAATCCAGTACTTTCTCTCGGACGGTCGTGTCTCAAGGACCAATACATCTCTCTCGCTTCGCCTGAGAGGTAGGGATGCCTCCAGACGTTACCTTAGTCGCAACCTTTAGATGTAGTTCAGCTTCTCCCACGTGCATTTCGCTGTTTTCTAACGCCCCTACTCTTCGCTCTCGTCTATCATCAAGATATGTCTGTCGGTCCATGCTCTCCCTAGGAACACCGCCGGAAATTGTGTCGGGATAGAGGACCACATTCCACGTACTCCGTCATTCTCTCTCTCTCCCTAACTCTCTCTCGTCGGCTCTTCGGGTCTGTCAGAGACCTTTTGCCTCCTTCGTATGTACCCCCACTCTGATCTCCGTCCTGCCGCCACGAGCCTCCAATCGGGTATCCTTGCCACGCGTCCTTCTCGCTCTGAGACATGGCGACGGCTCTCTTATCTTCCGGCCGGCCTATCGGCCGCTCAACTTCTGACCTTTCGATTTCTCGTTGGCGATATCTGCTGGTATAACTATCCTCTGCCGCGAGCTCGTTCCTACTCTCCCTCATGAACTTCTCCTCTCCAGCATATCGGGAGTCTCATACCCGCGTCATGTTGCTCAAGTGACTCGTCTGAGTCATACACAAGTACGCACACATTAGCTCTCTCTATCTCATCAGGTCTTCGGATTGCTATCTCATTCGCTGATCGTCCCGTCTCGCGGGAATGTCCGTCCTCCAGATCATTGATACTGATGACTCCACCCCGATTCCAAATGACGACATCTGACTCATCCGGTCTCGCGCATCCGTAGTTCGTGATCACTTTGGACTGCTCACATCGATTCAATTGCGCATCCGGCCACATCTTGTCCGGCCACTTATTGACACCTCGGCCCGCGATCCCTCTGATCCTCTTTTCAAAGTTCTCTCTACCTCCGCCTCCATTCAGCCTCCTCTGCCTCATCAGCTCGTCTCTCCGCTCTCTCCTGCATTCTCAATCATGAAAATATTTATTTATAGGTGATTTAAATAGGATAAGCTAGCTTGATACGACTAATTTATTAGTTGATAAAAACATATTTAATAATTTCCTTAAGTAGACCTTGAAAACCTTTGTAACAAATATTTAATTTAAATCTCTGTGCCATTTGCATAGATATCTGAGTATTAGCTCCTTTTAGTTTTCAGTAATTTAAGATTTTTTTTATTGTTGCAGGAAACGAAAGACTAAGCCGTGGAGATATTCCAGCAAACTCTTCAGGGTCCTGTGCAGCGGTTCACAACGATCATATGTTCTCTCGGAGGTAACCGGGTGTAACCTCATTACATTATAAGGTTTTTTAATGCAGCAAGACAAGCCCTTGACGTCAGTGCGTGTAGTCTGTTTTTGATTCGTTATTTTCTTCCCAAAGCTATAGCCCTCGTGAATGATATTGAGATTACTGTGCTTGTCCGGTCAACGACCATTGTGCTCTATATTTTGTACTTGAATACTTTGCTAAGCAGAGCATCCTGTGGCTGATGAAAATATAGGTGGATGGGTGTAGTGCTTTGTTTGATAGGGATAATTTTGGATCATAGCAAATTCATTTTTTTCTACACGTACGACAAGCTTCTCAGTTTCCTCAGCCATCTAATCCACCACACATAAAGTTAAAGTTTCAGCTTTTGATTATTGAGCTGCATGCTATTTTGTACACTAGAAGAGGTTTGTCTTAATATCGTTACAGAATAATTACTATTAAAATTGGAAATGCCTTACTGATAATTGCAATAAAGTAAATAACAACTTTGACCACTACAGTAATGAATTATATATTGATATAAATAAATGAAATACAAAGAAGAACAAATACTGTCATAAGTAGCTCAGCCATTACAAGAGGAGGCTGTGTGAAGAGAGAGGAGGGGGTCCATGGAAAGAGGCAGGGTATTGAATGGTGGATGCAGCTGTCTTTGATGGCTTGGAGGGGAAACCGAGGGGGAGAAACCACCCTAGACCCTAGGAGAAGGCCCAGTAAGGTAGAAGTGTTTGGGATAGTGGGTTGTGTAATAAAAGGGGACTAAGAGCATAAGAAAAGAAAAGAAAGGTGCCAAATAGAACTAGGTATATATTAGCTTCCACTCACTATATCACACTTGCACTGAAGCTTGGAAACAATCTTCCGGTCTTTAAAATTTACTATATTTAAGGCTCTTCAGCTTATAAAGGCTCCTCAGCTTTAAGATGTAGTTTACCAGTATCCTCAGTTGGGGCAGCTTGGACTTCAGCGCTGAACGCATAAACAACAAACACTCGCACACACAATGACTCAGGCATGTACACATACAAGGACTTGAACTCAAAATTGATGTAATGTGGTGTTTATGTTTTATAATTGAATTTATTTCAGAGTTCATCATATGTGGCCAGGCCTTATATATATATATATTTTTTTTTTTCTTTCTTTCTTTCTTTCTTTTGCATTTTAATAACTCTGTTTTGATGTGCTATCTTCCAAGTATACATTCTCATTCATTTTCCTATATTTTATGTACTTAAACCATTATAGGGGAGTTAGAAAGCAAATGCAGAAAACAGCAATTAATAAGTTCCAGTAGAGACTGCACTTTTTCTGATAAAAGAAAAAAATACTGGTCTACACTAATGATATAGAATATAGGGAGCAGTGTCATGATAACTAACTTGTGATCAGTAATCTTCAGTTCTGAGGTCTCCAATTAATGGGATGCAAGAGGGCCAGCAGGAGGGTCACAAGTCTTGGGAAAAAATATGATGGTCAATATGCTTAGGTATTCATCAGTAATTATGAATTTACTATAAAACAGGACTTTAAGGATTATTGCCTTACAGTAAGATAGATAAGGCTGCTGACTTTTTTATCTTTGCCTTCTTTTCCTTCTTCCTCTTTAGCCAAACAATTATGTCGTTGATTTGAGAAAGGGGTTGCCAGTGTAAAAAGGTACGGAACAACTGCTTTAGTGGATATCATTATGGACTTCAGCCCCATTGATTTACCAAGATTAGATATCCTGGAAGTTATCTGATTGTATACATGTGTCTGCAATCTCTGCTTTGTATATTGAGATTCGCTGCTTGTTTGTTATCTTTTTTAACATTTTCTTACAGAAGTACAGAGACTCAGACCCAGGTATCTGAACTTTTCAGTGACCAGGCAGAACATTTATTTTCTGTCTTAACTTCAGTGTCAAACAGTAGGACTGATTTAAGGCCATAATTTTGGGATAGAAATGTCTGCAGTCCATTGTTTCTGAGACTGATTTTTCAACTATGAAAAGCAGAATATGTATAATCCAGTTTGATTTTCAGATCACTTTTAGTCATTTGAATATTTAATTCCAAATAGGGAATTTCCACAAGTATTCAGCTTTTCTGATTTAGCACTTTGTAGTAGCATTTTTTGTTATTTTGGTTGCTATTATTGGTACTTAGTTTAGTTTACAATTTCACACATTTAGAAATAATTTCACAAAATTAGATCATTGTTACTTAGAAAGTACACATAGCTACAATGCTCCAATAGATGCAGACTTACTTGCTTTTTCTTCGTCACTTGTAAAATAAAAGTCATTGAAAACCAGAACCATAGAAATTGATTAAAGCAATAGGTAACTACTACTAGCAGATTTTTGACTTGAGATTTGTATATATGATGTAGAAAAGAGAAATACTAGGGTTTAAATTTAATGCTGATTTTTTTTCTTTCTTTTCTTTTCTTTTCTTTTCTTTTCTTTTCTTTTCTTTTCTTTTCTTTTCTTTTCTTACAATCAAGGGTTTCCTTGCAGGTTGGACAAATAATGAAAAGGATGAGATAGAAAACAGCTGTAACAATTTATGGAGACTACACTTACCAACACTTACCTGGGAGATGCTACACCCTGAGGGGACTTCACCCTATTCATGTGATAAAGCTGCTTGTTGGGTATACAAAAACAGGTATTAAAACAAAAATGGTTTCTGAGTTGTTATTGTTTGTGTGTTTGTACAGTACTTCAAAATATTAAGTATTTATACACCAACTGCATTGTGGATGAACTGTTATAAGAGAATGTTTTTTCCATGGCATTATTAAAAGAAAAAGAAAAAATATATTGTGCATTATGCAAGCTCTTTTCTTTCCAGGTTCTATGTCTTTGGGGGATTTGGCCCACCGAGGGAGTTTGAGGTGATGCCGAAAATCAAAGTACAGTTTGTGCAGGACGACTCATTTCACAGGGGTTGGATAGATCAGTTGGTGTATTATGATATAGGTAAAGGCATTTTTTATTTATTTTTATTTATCCCAAGTCCATACCATATATTATTTTATCTTTTTTGTTCTTATTTTTCTTTAATTTTTTAGGTCTCCGACCACCATCATTTTCAAGCCACTACGGACCCCAGGAGAGGAACAGGAGGTAAAACAACAAATAATAATAATAATAATCAAACATATGAAAAAATCCCTTTACCTCTTCATATACAACCAACTGATTATCCGTGAAATGAATCCTTGCACAGTTACTTTGAATTCACGTTAGAGCAGAAATCACCCGTGGTCAAAATCCGCAAAGACATAGACCTGGAGAAAAGGTGATATGCACCATATTTTTTCTTTTTTTTAATGCATGGAAAAAACATTCTCTTATAACATAGCCACATGCAGTTTGGTGGATAAAAACTTAATATATTTTGAGTATACACCAACAAAAATCAGAAACCATTTTTGTTTTAACATACTGTTTGTATACCAACAAGCAGCTTTATCACATGATAGGTGAAGTCCTCAGGGTGTACATGCTCCAGGTAAGTGTTGGTAATGTACTCCATAATTTGTTCAGCTGTTTTATCTATTCTCTTTCACTTATTTTCAACCTGCAAAGAAACCCTGATTGTAAGAAAAGAAAGAAAAAAGAAAAGAAAGAAAGGAAAAGAAAAGAAGAAAAGAAAGAAAATCAGGCATTAATTCACCCAGTTTCTCTTTTCTACATAATATCATCTCAAAGTCAAATCCTCTGTAGTAGTTACCTATGTTTAATCATTCTATGGTTGGTTTAATGACTTTTATTTACAAGATGAAGAAAGCAAGTAAGTTTGCATCATTGGAGCATTGTAGCGTATGGTTTCTAAGTAATGTATCTAATTTTGTGAAATTATTTCTAAGTGTGAAATTGTAACTAACTAAGTACAATAGCAACAAAAAAAAAATGTACTACAAGTGCAAAATAAAAAAGTGAATATTGTGGAAATTCTGTATTGGAAAAATTCAATGACTAAAAGTGATCTGAAAATCAAACTGGATTATACTATTCTGCTTTCATGTTGAAAATCAGTCTCAGAAACATGGCCTGGACATTCCTATCAAAATTGCTTAAATCACGATATATCCATACTGTTACAAACTGAAGTTAGACAGAAAATAAATGTTCTGCTGTCAACATCAGAACACGACTTCAATTACTGGTCTGAGCTCTGTTCGTAAGAAATTTAAAAATACAACAGCAGCGAATCTCATATACAAGGCAGAATTGCAGACACATGTTAACATCAGATTACTTCCAGTATCTAATCTTGGTAAATCAATGGGCTGAAGTCAATATATCACTAAAGCATTGTTCCGTATCCTGTACACTGGAACACCTTTCTCAATCAACGATCCATAATTGTTTGGCTAAGTAGGAAGAAGGAAAAGAAGGCAAAGAATAAAAAAGTCAGCAGCTTAATATCTTACTGTAATGCAATAATCCTAAGTCCTGTGTTTATAGACTTCATAATTCTGAGGAATACTAAGCTATTGAAACCATCAATTTATTTCCTAAGATTGTGAAAAACCAGCCTCCTGCTGCCTCTTGCACATTTTGGAGCCTCAGAATGAAGATATGCTCACAAGTTTTGATCATGCACTGCTCTATATTTAATATATTAGTGTAGACAATATTTTATTTCTTTATATGAGAAATAAGTGCAGGTCTCTAACGAATTATTAATGCCGTTTTTGTTTGTTTTGTAATCCCTATATGGTTAGGTACCTAAAATATAGAAAAATCATTTGAGAATGGTTAACTTGGAAGATGTCACATCAAACAGAGTTTTTAAATGGCAAGAAAGAAAGAAAGAAGAAAAAAAAAAATAATTTTATATATAAGGTGGCCACATATGATGAACTCCCTGAAATAAAATTCATTATACATAACACCACTTACTCATTTTGAGTAATCAAAGTCCTTGCTTGTGTCATGCCTGAGTATTGTGTGTGATGGTGTGTTGTGTGCGTTGTTAATCTCAGGATACTTCGCTGAAGTTCCAGCGGCCACTGAGATCTGGATTAAACTACATTATAGTGAGGATTTATAGCAGAGCTTAATATGTATTAAGACCAATTAGACGAAAGATTTGATTTCCCATATTCAGTGAGAGTGTGAAATAGTGAGTGGAGCTAATATAGTACTGAGTTTATTTGGACCAATCTTTTTATTCTCCTTTTCTTGATGCTCTTTAGTCTGTATTACAGTATGAAAAAATTAAAGTTCAATAAATCAAATAAATGTCTTCCCACTTCACTTCTCCGTACTGGCCTTCCTCAACAAATGTCTAGGTGGGTTTTCTCTCGGTTTCCACTCCAAGCCCTCCAAGCGCTGCAATCACCTTCAATCCATGCCATTAGTCGGACTCTTCGGTCACCCGCCTACTGAGTAATTTGCTGGGATACTTATGGACAGTATTTTGTTTTCTTTGTAATTATTTATTTATATCAAATTATTCTTAACTGTGTGTAAAGTTGTTATACTATTATGCAATGTCTATGGTAATTTCATTTTAATAATTATCTGTAACGATATTGTTTAGAGACAACCTCTTTATGTACAAAATGCAGTCTAATATCAAAGCTGAAACTTAACTGTTTATGTGGCGGGTTAATGGCTGAGAATGAGAAGCTTTGTGTACGTGTAGAAAAAATAGCTATGATAATATATCCTATAGATAAAAACTAACACAAAATTTCTCAATACCACTATGTGCGAGAATGTGATAAGCACTGTACGACCAGGTATCATATCACGGCGTCTAAAAATAACGAATCATAAACGACACACGCATGACGTCACTCTGTGCATTACTAATAATAGCAATAGTTTACCGTACTCGAAGAGATACTATTATGTTGTGAACGCTGACAGGACTGAGAGTTGCTGGGAAACTACTCCACGGCTTGTTTTCGTTTCTGCAAGCAATAAAAAATCTTAATACTGAAAACAAAGGAGTTCCAGATTTATCAAAATGCCAGAGGATTAAATAATATTACAAGGTTCAGAGTCTATTAAGGAAATATTGAAGATGTTTTTATAACTAATATTAGGTCTATCAAGGTATCTATATACATAATTTTCATGAATTTAAGAGAGGAGAGAGGGAGGACGGAGGAGAGAGAGAGAGAGAGAGCGGGAAGAGATAAAGAGAGAGAGAGAGAAGGAAATATATAAAAGAGAGAGAGAAAGAGAGAGAGAGAGAGAGAGGAGGAGAGAAGAGTGGAGAGAGAGTGAGGAGGAGTGAGAGAGAGAGAGTGAGAGAGAGAGAGAGAGAGGGACGAGGAGAGAGAAGAGAGAGAGAGAGAGAGAGAGAGAGAAGAGAGAGAGGAGAGAGTGAGAGAGAGAAGAGAGAGGAGAGGAGAGAGAGAGAGAGAGAGAGAGAGAGAATGGGGAAGTGAGGGAGTGAGAAGCGAGGCTGTTAATGTCAGAAAGAAGAAATTATGAGAAGAATAAGGAGAAGAAAATAGATAAAGAATGATGTAGAATAATAATAGAGAGGAGAAAGAGGAGAGAGAGAGAGAGCGAGGGAGAGAGTAGAGGAGAAAGGGGAGAGAGAGACTGAAGGAGAGCGACAGAGAAAGAGAGACAGAGAGAGAGAGTAGGAGGAAGAGAGAGAGAGAGGAGAGAGAGAGAGGGAGAGAGGAAGGAGGGAGAGAGAGAGAGAGAGCAGGAGAGAGAGAGAGAATGATGAGAGAGAGGAGAGAGAATTTCTTCAAATTAAAATATATTTGAAT